TCATGAAGGGATACACTCTGGTCCTTGACACATGGGTACCACAGTGATTTTTTTTCTGCAACTGCCACCAAATGGATGAGGGATTTCCCAGTAACCCCAGTGCCATACATACAGTTCTTTGGAAACTGTGCCTGTATAAGGGTATATAGGGGAATCACACTATCCTTTTAGGAATGAATCTCCAGAATTTAGGTGACATGAGCTTAGAAATTCATGGGATATCTCTCTGAGATGGTTTTCCTAGAACTGGCTTTTGTGACCTGGATGTTTTTAGAGAAGCTTTTAATGGCTTATCTCACTCTCAACATAATATCCCCATGCCTGGGGCTGTAGACTTAGAAACTATCAAGTCTCATTGGCTCTAGTATCCTTTTGGATTGCTTGTTTGCTCAGTTTTCTTGCTTTCTTTCAGTCGACCTGAACCTGGGTCTGTACCTATCATCACTAGGTATCTTTTTTATCAGTTCTTTTCTGCTTGCTTTTTCTAACCTTCCTAGCTAACATCCTAACCCCACCTCCTTTTTCTGTCTAAATATATCTAGCCATGCATTCCTTGACATCTTCTTCTTTCGCCCCTTTTCTCAACATTCCTGCCTTTCTAAACTTGAATCTGTTATGGTGACAATTCACTTTTGTCTCATGCCTTACATGTCTACATGTCTGAAGTTGAAATATGAAAGGAGACTACTATGCTGGACAGAGCCAGGAGTCAATGAAATGACATGGAAACTCATGACTAGACTATTCTTAGCTGAGACCTTTCTCAGCAGGAGAATCCCTGGTGCACAGTCCTCAGTTTAGGGATGACAGAGAGCAGAGAGGCTCAGCAGGAATACGTCTTCTAGAATACAGCAAGGAGTTGGGGGCTCTTTCAAAGATAACTCGCTTAACACACTCTCAGCCCAGGATTCCACCCCTAGCCCGAGAACATGGGTTTAGGGGGATAATAAAAGGTTAAGTATTCGTTTCTAGAACACCTGTTTCTCCAAAAGATAAGAATTCTGAACACCAAGCTTCTATGTTTACATCCCATAGAGTTCATTAAACATGGCTGGAGGCATCTTTTGCATGTAACAAACTACCCAAATGCAAAAGGTAAATGAATTACACACTAACTTGAGATTATAGTCTCCCAATGAATAACTAATCTCAGTCACCAAGAGCAGTTGACTTATCCCAGGCTGCCAACTACTCCAGCATTACCAAGTAATGCAAAAGCAGAGCTGGCACCAATCATGCTATGTGTTCAATGCCCATATCCCTGTTGTATAAACAGAACACATGCTCACACTGATAGTTGCTGTAATTCAGATCTTTCTCTGGTTCAGGATATTATCCATCATGAGTGGATTCTTGGCTCAAATAAATGCTGGTGACTTTGAAGTATCTTAGAATTTAACAAGAGTATGCAACAGGGGCAAGTGTGTCAAGGCATGCCCCATCTCCCCATTTCTCAGAGCTAAAGTCACTGTCTCCCCATTCATCAAGACCTTACCCTGTTGATAGCAGTGTACATACATGATGTCAGTTGATATTGCCATTGTTTATTAAGAAAATTAATGTGCTCAGATTTAGAGGTTTTTAAATACTTCTCAAAGTCCTCACAATGAGGATACCCCTTTAGTTCAAGAGTCCCTTATGGGAATGTAGGTTCAGTGAATGGAATTGTTCAGAAAAAGCAACTGGAATAGACTCAGTAAATATGGAACTAGTCCAGTCTGTGTCCTGGAGTATGTTCCTTCCCTCTAGTGTCAGGGAAAGGAAGCACAGGTGAGTCTCACCTATAGAGAAGGGCATAAAAGCTTCATTTTTCTTCAGTGCCCCATTGGCATCCAGGAAGTGGTCAGGATTGAAGGTATCTGGTTGTTCAAAGTGCTGTGGGTCATGGAGAGCTGAGCTCAGGATGGGGTACACTTCAGTGTCCTAGGAGACATTATGAGATACAAAGATGTCAACATTCCCTAACTCACATATTCAAACATTCAATCAATCAATAAGACACCTGAAATTCTGGGGAATCAACAACAGGCTGGTACTAGGATGGAGGAGAAAGCTTGAAGCTCATGGAGTAGAGATGTGCAATGGC